TGGACGTCGATCCCACTTAATTAAGAAAAGTCACTGAGAAGCGGCCTGTAAGAGTCCGCAGGAAAAATTGTTGTAGCTTAGAAAAACTGAAAGTTAAGCTGACTATATGGCTGTCCTCAGTATAGAACATAAACGTACTCTAAAACGGAAGTATTTACTCCAGCATGGTTTTTAACTGGTTTTTCATGGATCAGACCTCATCTTTTTTTATCAAACAATTGGTCTCACAGAAGGGGCGTCCTTACCATGCCCTGAGCGTCTCAGTTCTTGACTAAACAACAGCCGATTTACATCGATTTTTTCAAGTGGTCACAGGGCACTGAGGCATTTTGTTGGATATTTAGGAGTACCAGCGAGTCGTTGAGCCTACTGATTTATGTCAAGGCTGGTTGTTTGTATTCAGTATCAGTACCCGACTATTTCTAATTACTAAAGTTGCCGCCCGAGTCATCAGGGACCTAATATTGCAGTTTTACGTTGATCAGATTTGCGGACATATTAGTATCGCATTGATCTATCGGGACCAATACTTGCTAACCGGATGCGAAGAGAATTCCGCCAAAAAGTAGTTTCAGAGGTCCAGGGGGGAGAATTGGAGTATCAGGGCTTGAAGATGACTGACAGAACACCGATTATTGTCCAGATTTACCCGGTACTCGCCCTCTTTTATACTTCAAAGCAGCGAGACATGCTAAGTCCCCTTTATCAACCACAAGCACGACTCATCACGCTTGTGCATCAGAAGCCAGTGACGGAGAGCGGCCATCACACGCAAAAGGTTGGGTGAGGTCACCTCCAACGTGGGCGGGTCGTCTGAACCTAAAATTCTCCCAGAATGCGGGTTCCTCGCCCCTTCTGCATAAATGGGACTTAGTAAGGGTACCATCTCACAGATAGAGAACATATGCATCTCATACCAAATAGGTGAAAAAAGACACTAATCGCCAACAGCCACTGTGAAACGTTCCTTGACATCCACTGCTTTTAAGAGAGTTACACAATGTCTTCCGTTAAAGGCCGACCACATTGCGAACAGCATCGGGTGCAAGCCCAGTCATGCTGTATACCGAACGCCTTTAGCTGAAGACCTTATCCCTGGTCCCACAACCAAGAGAGAATACAAGATCATGTCTGACCACGCGGTCGCACATATATTCCATCAGTTCACTTCGGATTACGGTGCTTTTGCGGCGCTCCTCACAGCGGATTTCGTGAAAAGTTGGGCATGACCTACTCATCCTGCAGATGACAACTCCATATCAGTAGCTCACAAGTGAGCCTTATGATTGGCCCTTCTCAAGTCTTCACCAATCTGCTGCTCAGAAACTGGTTGCCCTCTTTGGAGATATCTCAATCAAATAGAACAGCATGCTCGTAAAATCTATTGCTTCAGACCACCTGCCCACATTGGAGCCGTTCCTATCTAAACTTATCGTGGATCAAGTGTGACGTTCCTCCTGTGTTAACATACTTCCTACCCATAAACGTAATACTTTCGGTTTGTGACTGATGAAGGTGATTCGTATGGTTGGATCTACAAAGTCCTTTTGCTGTTCTAGTGAGATATCCGACTCCTTTATTAGCGGACGTCCATCTGTCGTTGGGTGGCCTGAACACACGATGACACCACAAAATCGGTTTCGGCTTACTTTTGTTGAGGAAACATATTTCTGAAAACTTTCAGCTCTTTTTGAAACACATCAGGCAGATACGGTCTCCGAGTTGTTGTTGATCTTGAACACCAAATTGTACGAACTTAACTAAACACACTAATCTGCAGATTAATTCGGTTTAATCGGGAGAGCTTGTAGCATACTTATAAGTAATACGTTCCCTCGAGGAAATATAGTACATGTCAGCGGCAACATGGTGCGAACTTTGTGCAGCATATTCAGTTGAAGATTAACATAGATGTCAGATTAAACCGAGTATTCCGTTTTCACCAATGTAACTCGCGTTTTAGCCTAGTAGAGCTTGTCGGAGATATTATGTATGCACTTGTTGCGAAAATATTCGCAGTGTTGGGTTCACGTACTTTTATAATTTCTGGAGTTATGGACTGACGCCTGTGAAATTAGGAAGTCACTGACTTCATATTTAGGTCTACTTTTTTCTGAGATTGAAGGACATCCGCGAAGCGATAATCGTAACCCTCTTTTTGCATGCAATTTGTGGTACTTCCAAATGCTCCACCATCAGATGTGAACTCATACTGGGACGAGACTGCAACCTCTTTGCATAGTGCTGGGAATTTCACCTGTGGCACGACCCA